CCCCAAAACCCCAAAACCCCAAAACCCCAAAACCCCATTAGTTGCATTTTACAAATTAGTAGATAGCAGAATAATTTATGAGAAATCAGTATAGATTTAGTTTAGTACATACAATTACCTTTACTTGCTGATCGAGAGCACACATGCATCCTAATCCAAGTTTATCTGGGTTCCAATCGTACCCTACTATTGGCTATTAGGCCAGAGTTTTCTCATTAAGCAATTCAAGTCTTCCTGTTACACCATACGGAATACCATCTAAATCCTTTAATGCTCTGCTTGATGGATAGTGATATTTGTAAATGTTGAGAGAACCATTGCCACCTAATGTTCCGAATAGATCTCTATTCTAAGGTAAATGTCTTACTCCCCATATAGTAGACTTATGCGCAAGCTCAGCAAGTCCAGTATAACCTCTCTCTGGGTGATATGTTTTAAGATCGAAAACATGAAACTTTGACTCTAATGTTGTGACAACTAATTTGTTCATATTGATATCTTGCCTATCGAATTCAAGACCGCAAATACCATTTTAAAGGTTACTATCCCATCTCAAGCAATTAGTCTTAAGATCAAATAACTTGATATCTCCATTATCATAACCTGCTGCAATACATCTCTCTTCTTAGTTATAAGAATTTCCAAATGCTACAGCCCAGCAATCTGGTTTTATAAGTTCACTCTCTGCAGGTTCTAGACTAACAACAGGAGCCTCTTGTCTAGGATCCCATACTCTTACACACCCATCAGTTCCACCGGTAACTAACTCCGGTGCTCCATACTCTGCGCCTTTACCTCCAATACCATCAATCACGTTTGCCATTGATGCATGAGCTTTTACAGAGAACTTTGGTTTTCCTTTCTCAATATCATATATGGTTAGCATTCCTTTATAATCGACTGTAGCTACATCTCTAATTGAAACAGGTGATGCTTTAAATGTTGCATTTTTAATTCCGTCAGTCTTTTCCCAATCATGCACTATTTCAAGTTTTCCTTGATTCAGTTGATAAATCTAGAAAACTCCTTATGCTTTAGGAGATTAACCTAATAGAATGAATCTAGCTGAGCAAGGGATCCACTTAGTGTCAAATGGAGTGAATGTCAAAGATTTTGAGGCGTGTTCAATAATCTATGGCGCATCAGTTGTGTCCATTATTAAACTCTTATAATTTAAAATTCAAAATTATATTCTAGAAGTTTCGCGGATAAGACTTTGGCTAATGATTAAATTTTAGGGATGATTAATTTCATATATTTTTTAGATTAATTCATAAATTATCTATGTACACCAACTAACACAAAAATTATCATACTCACATTCATTAACTGAATTAGACTATTTTTCACTCGAAAATATTGTTCATAAATCCAATAAATCTATCTCCATAGTTCTTTGGGGGTATGCAGCTGATAGTTTTATTCCCATAGGCCACAGATTTCAAACTATATTCTAGTTTTTTCTTGGCTCCAAAGAAAGTTAAGGTATCAATAATTCCAATGAAATACACGAATTTACCATCAGAGGAAACAATGCCTCCGTCGTGGGCTTCAAAGAATGGAATAGGGGGTCTTAGCAATTTCTAAGAATTATAAGTGACACCCAGTTTTACACCACTATCTTTTTGTTTAAGGATATCAAAGCTATTTCTAATAATTTGATGGATACTTGGACTGTTTTACAGAATATCTCTTCCTTCATCTTCATCTTAAAGTTTATGAATACCTAGCAATAAGCTGTAGTCATTTATGTTGAGCTTTTGAAATAGCGAGACATCATCCTATATTTGCTATTTTAGAGCTTTTTAGATATCAGGTGAAACTCTGATTTTAAACTTTTCATCAATAAAATCAAGATCTTTGAGTGCCACACTACTATCAACATATTCATTAGGATTTTTCTTGGTCTTCCTGCCCTGAGTTGAACCTTTTAGATCAAATCTAAAATTAATTTCTCTAGTTGTCTTGAACACATTCGCCATTATGACGAAATAAATCCTTGCTTTTCCACCATTCTATTTTTAGTATTTTATTTTGTGAAGACCGAAAAATCTAGTTATTAGTGTATGAGGATATAAAGCTAAGTGATCATAATATTCCTTAAGAATAACTCTTAGATTGTGAAACTCACCATTACTTATAGTTTTCAACATAAAGTTAGAATCTGCCGTATAATAGAAAAAACTTCCACTTTTACCAGTTGAACACTATTCCTTCAGACTAGAGATGTTCCCCATCAATAGATTGCCTATGAGATTCTCAAGGCCCAGTGATTTTAAGTATTGATCTGGTGTGATACCATACATAGTTCTGATAAGATGAAAGACCCTAGGAGAAAAATCGTAAAACTCAAATAAGTTCATATTCTTGGTCTTCTTAGAAATAAGTTCATAGCAGTACTTTCTTTAAAAATCTTGCTCAATCAGCTCAAATACCTCTTCATGCATTACATTCCTTACTGATTGTCTTATTCCAAGCATCATATGTAGAACGAGATTCCAATTATCATGGCCAATATGGATGAAAGACTTACTTTGACTCTTACTTAATGGTTTATGAATGTGAGAAGCTTTCTTAATGCTTTCAGTCAATCTTTGTCTGCTTCTCACCTTGAAGAAATTTTAGATCTCGTTTACTGGCCTTAGATTACCGTTATCCAAGTTAAGTGATATTCTATGTAGTTCCTTTTCTTCTTCACTCTCTTCGCTATCATCTTGACTGTTCTTAAAAATCTTTTCTTTTTGTTTATCTACATATTGCTTTATCTATTCACCAATAGCTGAATCCTTATCCTCTTGCAATTGATTAAGGAGATGATTTGCCAAACCTTAAATCTCATTCAACTATTTCATTATTTTTTATTATTAACTCTTTAGTTAATCATTTTCTATCTTCATTTGATAAGCTTGACTATGCTAATCCATTAACTCTCCAATTTAAGAGTTATTTTTCTTAGGCCTTGATTTCAATAAGCGAGATTAGTTCATCTCGCTCAGCACTCTCTCATTGGAGTTTCTTATAATTTGACTATTATTTATAGGACCACCACCCTATGCGTAATTAATTTCAGATCTTGCTAAATCCTAAGCATAAGTAGGTGACCAATCGGAGGAATACCCATTAGCATTTTAATTTGGTCCATTTATTAATCCAAAGTTATTTAAATTTTATGAATTCTATCTATAAGTATGAGATGTTTTGTTTAACTGATTTGCATTCCTAGATTGACTAGAAATCAACTTATTTTTGCTTGAATTTATATGACTTGATTATTAATTTTCTGGCTTCATCTGAGAGTTCGCACTGTTATTTGAATTTTGCCTGACCACTGAGTTAAGCTAAGGCTGCTAATCAAACTACGATTTATATTCTTGGAATTCAGTTAATTATTATTAATTTTTTTATATCTTAACTAAGGGAGATAGTGATTTGTTAATTATACTTTACTAAGCTCTTTACTATGCTTGCAATTGCTGATAGCTACTATTTGGGTATTCTTAAGTCTTCCTCTAAGAATTTTGGAGTAATTTCCCCTTGCTTCTTTAAACATTTGAGGATTAATTTATATTTTTAGTTTGAATTGGAGAGTCTGGATCTTCAATGACATCAGTATCCTATTCAATTTGATTTTTACTTTAAATATGATAGACTGGTGGTTTTTTTTCTCCAAACTCTTTTTTTCTTTCTCTTTATATCTACATTTTTTTCTGAAGTTCCATAATTTAATATTGCTGTGAATCCATTTTGATTGCTTTCTTTGGTAAAGGATTAAGATATTGCTCTTAAAGTGAGCTTAGAGCTGATTCTCTATTAAAGTTAATTTATTATTGCTCATTGATATCTTGAAATCTTGGGGATTGCTCGTCGACTTTTTCCAAAAGTAATTGCAGCTGGTTTTTGAATTTATTGTTGCTGTTATTTTTCTCCTACTATCTTTTCTAATTTTAATCAATAATAGACTGCTTTCTATTTCTCAGTTTTTCCTCATCATCAAGATTTCGTTCAAGTGACATGTTAAAGTCTTCAAGTTTAAATGATTCTCTCTTTTATCAACTTATTGCTGACCCGAAATTCGACATTTGGCTTGAAGATTACTTGGAGGAAATATATTCAATCTAGTTGTTTTGATTATTCTAAATATCTATAGTTTGCATCTAATTCATGACTCGACTTAGCTTTTTCTGTAGTTCTAAAACATCACTTAGAGCGTTAATTTTGACCTCAACTATATCTTTTTGAGTCTTATCGCTGTCTGAAAGCCCTTTATTAAGCAAATCAAACCATTGAAATAACTAGGGATTGCCTTTTAAGGCTTTCTTGTATTCATCAATATCTACAATACCGTCCTTGTTAACATCCATCTTATCGAATATTTGTCTTAAGCCATCCCTTTCTACCTTGACCTAACTGCCAGTTATTATACACCAATGAGCAATGATCTTAGAGATTATTTCCTTGAACTCTTCAAAATCAAAATATCCAGAATCGTAAACGTCAAGCAATGAAAAACTAAACTCATGCTTCTCATCTTCCTCACCGTTTATTAAGGTATCCATAATTGTTGCGAACTGTGAAAAAGAGATATACTAATCACTATCAGAATCTACCACTTCAAATATTCTATCAGACAGAAATGCATTGGATTCAAGACCGAGTAGTCCCATGCAAAGTCGAAACTGATTCTTAGACATTTTCCGCTCATAATGGATACCAAGAATTCCAGGCTCTTTTTCCAGAGAGATCTCTACTTTTTTATAATTTGTGCCTTTGACATAACCCTTACTAATTGGCGTAGAATTTCTATCAACAACCAGAGAAGTGTTTGGACTGAAGTTGTAATGTGAACTTTTCAAGGTTTTATGAAAGCCTGATAGATTATCTGACCTATTAGATCCTTTCTCTTAATCATGCTATATTTATTTAGCAATCATTGTTTATTCCAGATTATCTTAGGTCTTTAAGTCCAAATCAATAGTTTCTCCTCTTTCATCAACCAAAACCCAAGTTGAGTTTTTCTCAAATCTACTTTTCAAGTCTTTTATATCCTTCTTTGAAAATCTAGTTTGCTGTATGCTAGTTTTAATTACAAATGACTTTTTCTTTCACTAACTGAGAATCTATTTTGCTGCCCAATCTCTAGACTAGTTTTCCTTTATCTACCTCTGAGTCTACAATAATGGTGAGTTCCCAGTAGGTGGTTTACCCATTGCAGACTTACTTGGCCTCTTTCTTTGCTCCTAGTTTCCTAGTTTATGTGATCTTCCACTCATACAAAACGCCATTTCCAAATTCACTTTATTTATACTGCTAACTTTAACTTTAAGAACTTTTATAAAATTTTAATCTTTTTATATAAACACTATTATCATTAATAATCTTTCATTGATATGTCTTAAATGACATTAACTCATTGACATCCTAATGCTAATTCTAATCGATATTTTCATTTGAATGGCTTTGGTGTCTTGACTAAACCTCCCTGCATATTAGCATTCATCTTCTATATTTCTTTCTTTATATCTATCTTTTCCTTTACTCTCTACATGTCATCTTTCTCTAGTTATTCATAAGTTCTCATTTTACCCTCATTGCCTCCATAGAATTCCAAAACATTAGCTAGTGGTTCTACGCCTGAAGACTATAACAATAGAATTATATAATGAGCATTTTAATACATCAACTTCCTCAAGTTTCTTGATAAACATGAGAGCAGATTGGAAGTCATTTTTGTATTAAAACATTTCTTATTCATCTTTGAATCTAATTAATGACAAATCTGCTGCCATTTTCATATACTACAGAGCTTTTTCATCTGATAGCTGATAGCTTGGATCCTTCTATTGAGAGAAGAACTAATCTAATGATAATTTTTCCTAAAATAAACAATCAATTTATATTATTAAGTACATTCTGGTTGCTAAATAATCTAGCCTAGTAACTTGCTGCTTTGAATGTGAATTTTGCAATAGTCTTGTTGATAATTATCATTTTAAATTATAATTTTATAGCCTTTAATTAAAAATGCTATCAACACCTTTTAAAAATCAGAATAATCTTAAAAACACAATAAATCTGTTCAAGTCTACTATTTAAAGGCGCTGGTTCTTTGAAAGTGTCGGAATAACATCTTTAAAGACGATAGATGTTGATTAGAGAATCAAGGACAATCAGTATTTGCATAATGAGATTATAACCTTTGACAATAATGATAGATATATGATTTACGATAGCTCAGCTTATTCACTGAAGATGAAACCCAACATTCCTTTATATTCTTGTGTTGCAAGTATAAGTGCATACTTAGCTTATATATCATCAATAGCTGAAAACTTAACTCTATTTAATGTGTATGGAATGGGAGGATTGTCTATGATGAGTCTCTTGCTTATATTAAATTCGTAGATTGTGAGAAGTAATGATATCACAAGAATTTTCATAAACAAGACTGGTAATACATTGATTTTGGAAAATGCTCTTGGAGATAGTAAAGAATTGGCTGTTGAGACTATGCAATTAGAATCAGTTTAGAATAATTTATTAACTTTAACAGTTACAGTGGAGGACTATTAATCTAATGTAATAAAGTTAAAGTAAGCTGTCTTCTTTGATCCCATAATGCTGTATGCAATCACTCATAAAGACGTTTAAAGTGTTAAGTATATTTGATTTTTAAGTTTCCTAGATTTCGTTGTCATTTAAACAGAAGGGGTTTTGGGGTTTTGGGGTTTTGGGG